TTTTTATTAACTTAACTTTTATATATACAGATACATTTCAAGATAATTTGTTTTTAATGATGCAGCTGAAACTATTTAAGGATTGAATATGTTATTGTGTGTTCCCACAGATAACAGAGAGAGAGCTGAAGCCCGGTGGAGCCAACATCCCTGTGTCAGAGAAGAACAAGAAGGAATACATCGAGCGGATGGTGAAGTGGAGGATAGAGAGAGGGGTGGTGCAGCAGACTGAGAGTCTTGTCAGAGGCTTCTATGAGGTACAGTAGGCTTTAGTGTCAAATCTTTAATTATCCAGCCCCTGATTTATTGTATTGTAGAAAACACTCACTTAAATAGTACAATATTTTTTGTGTGTCACCCAGGTGGTGGATGCCAGGTTGGTGTCAGTGTTTGATGCCAGGGAGCTGGAGCTAGTGATCGCCGGCACTGCTGAGATCGATTTATCAGACTGGAGGAACAACACGGAGTACAGAGGAGGTATGGAAGTAAAGGAGGATGGATTGCTACTTTTGTTTTCAACCTTTTTCTACAATAATAATTTCCTCGTGCAAACAATACATGCTTGTTCCTCTTGTTCATGATAATTTCTTTGTGATAATTTACAAGCGCACTCTTGTCATTCACCATCATCGGGATCCTGTTGCCACAGTTACATGACATGGTTTGCTATGTACAGGTTACCATGACAACCACATCGTGATCCGGTGGTTCTGGGCGGCGGTGGAGAGGTTCAACAATGAACAGAGACTGCGACTTCTGCAGGTAGGCATGTGTGAATGTGCAAAGACGAGACAGAGGCTTGTGAGTAAGTAAGTGAGTCTCACTTCATGCCGCTGTGTCCCACCTGTCTTCCTCCTCTTCTGTCCCTTTGTCTTCTCTGCATCATCAGTTTGTCACCGGGACGTCCAGTATTCCCTACGAAGGCTTTGCGTCTCTGCGAGGCAGCAACGGCCCCCGCAGGTTCTGTGTGGAGAAGTGGGGGAAGGTCACCTCGCTGCCCAGGTAAACACAGGGAAGAGCCCCGCAGCACAAATCTCCTCATGCCTGCATTTCGATCTGAATTCCAAGCACTCATCAGTTTTTTGATTAGTCAACAATTGAAACGAATTTGGGAGATGGATATTTCCTGATGCAGTTAGAGAAGCCCATCCAAAAGTGAAAGACCTTGATGAGATAATAACTTTTTTAGAGATGTTTATAGAGATGTAGTTTTTACTTTAGATGGATTAAAACAGGATCTTCTGAATAATAATCTCCCACTGCCACTTATGGGCAGCCTGCAGGACATCATGACCCACCTTATGTCACTGATCATCTCACACGTTGTCCTGTCGCCTCTCTCCAGAGCTCATACTTGTTTCAACCGGCTGGACCTGCCACCGTACCCGTCCTTCTCGATGCTGTTTGAGAAGATGCTGACCGCCGTGGAGGAGACGAGCACCTTCGGGCTGGAATGAGACCCTCAACTTCCCACCTACCCAACTCTCAACTTCCCTTAAGACAGCTGTTGGTTGTGGAAGGAAGAAGCCACATAGAACAGCTGCTGGAAAAAAGGTGTTAAAATCTGGGTTTAGAATCCAGTTAATGGTTTAAGTTTAATTTATAGCGGGCTATGTTTTATAAGAGAAGACTTTTGATCCATGAAGTGACTCTGACTTGTGTCATGTAATCATGTTTTTATTGCCCCTGCACGTATTTCGCACCTGCTTAGTAACACACATGCTGGGATGAATTAAAAGACCCACTCTGCCTTCTGGGACGGGGATCGAAACTGCCAGGATTTGACCAAAATCTGAGACGAGGATGTCTTTTTTTTTCACTTCCTCATTGATACCGTGTACAAATGTGCAAATCACCTGAAGCAACCACTGCCTTCACTGCAGAAGCTGAGCGGATTCAGCCTCTTTTATTTTACTTTTCTCGGACCTTGAAGGATTGCTTGGCCTGTCCAGAGCTGTCAGTGATGGATTTGTTGTAGTGTGGCGTCGTCGTGTGGCACATTGAAAGAACTGCACTCATGCAGACGGTGCTTTTTTCCTTTCTTTTTGAGAGCCTTTGAGAAAAAGGCAGTTACCTGTCTGAGGTTTTTGCTACAGTTTATGGGATTTTTCCAGTGAACTTTACCCACAGCTGATTTTGGAGTCCAAACTGAAGCTTTGGTATCGTCGTTACAGTATTTTCATTGAAAAGAAAAAGTGATTTTCTAATGACGTGTGGCAGTGACATGTTGTGATTTGAATGTAACTAACATTAAGATGTAGATTGTGTGGGGAGGGATCTTTTTATTTTTTACCAGATCTGGATCAACTGGATGAAAGAACAATATCAAGCCAGCACTTATTGAGTTAATAAGTCAATGATTAGATTCAGTAACATTCAGCATTTAACCATCTTCATTTACTTTGAGATTGATTTGAAACAAGCTTTGATCCAAGTCTATTTTCTACAATGTGTTGAAACTAACCCCATTTCATGATTTATAGATTGAAAGAAACTTGTATGGTCAAATACACAAAGCAAATTAAATCATTCCATCAGCAGTAGGGAGTCTAGAAAATGTCACATGGGGCGTCAAGAGGTGGCATGGGAGGGTGATGGGTGGGGGTCTCTATATAGTACCCTAAAGTGAATTATAGAGCATTCTGAAGATGCTAAAATCAAAGTTGTGCATCTACACAAGTAGCATGGCTGAAAATGAGGGGGTTAATGCATTAGTTCAGTTGCAGCAAGGACGATAATGCTCGGCTGGCTTTACGATAATTCACCAGTTTTGTCTATTTCTGTGCTTAGGGACAAAGTGCAGAGTTGAAATTCAATATTCTACCATAACAGCTGGGTGAGGCACAAAGATTGGGGAGCCAGGCCCAATAGCAGTGAGCTGGCAGCTGCTAGTGCCTCCCAGTGCTGACCTCTGGATCTGACCGTGCCACCCAACCACTCACACACCAGTCAGAAGCTCTTCTATAACTGCTGGTGCCAGCTCATGTGATTAAAGAAGTCAGATTTATTACATACTCAAAAAAAAGACTTGACATCTGCTAATGTATAAACTGGCATCAAAAAAAATCTTCTGCATATTTGTTCTCATGAGAAGAATTCATTTTCTTTTCATTGTTTCATTATTATTATTATTATTATTAGCTTGTTATCACATTTGCACACTATGATTACATTCTTCACGGAAGCTCCAACTCCTTGTGTTTTCTTTTCTCTCTCTCTCTCTCTCCTCGTGATGTTGACCACTTGTGTGTTTGTTCCACTGACTCTCATCACACGTTCTGTATGTAAAGGCTGTAAAACCTCACTTTGTTATCATTTCGATGGTGAATGAAGTTAATAGTGTATAAATGTAAACACAACCAGGTTGTTTAGTGGAGGTCACGTGAAGAGCTCGGAGTGTGCACCCAATGAAAAACACATACTGTCATTTTGTATAAAAGTCATCTGAAGGAGCTTGCAGTGAATCTTTTTTCTCTTTTGTACTTTGAGATACTCGTCACTGCCCTCCTCTGTCACATTCCACCCTGCACTATGAATGTAAGCACGCCTCGAACTGCCTCTCCGCACCACAACTGTTCAACCACGCTCAGGCCTGCAACAGTGAGAGGTCCACTGCTGAGGTGCTGAGCTAGAATGAAGCCTTCTTAATGCCTCATGTTATACACAAGGTAATGAGGAAGCCCATTTCTGAGGAAAAAAAAAAAAAAATCTCATGCTTTTGATTCAAAACAAATTATCTCATAATTTTATGTCTTAATATGACAGATTTGCCTAATTCATTGATAATGTGACCTAATCATGACGTCCTTGTTTCTCATTTTGACTTTGTCTCTTACATTGTATTATCTTAGTATAAGACCTGGTCTTATCGTGGGCATATTTAAATCTTTCTTGCTTTCTCTTCATGTCCTGGTGGAAATTGGCTTCTATAAGACAAAGTCACCACACACAGTCAGTAACTTTGCCTTTTCAGGAGTGCAAATTTATTTATTTTTAATTACACAGTACACTTTGTGCAAAACCAGTTAAGTTTCACATGTGAATTCAGCTCAGTTGGATAAAATTGATCCATTCTAACAATAAAATAAGAGTTAAAGGATTTCCCTCACTGAATGCACTGCCCTCTGTCTATCTAACCAAAGCTGTGAGCCTTAACCGGCTGACTCACATTCAACGCTCTTATCTTTCTGTACAGTCCACCTCACTTTTAAATATGAATGTTTGACAGCAGTCCTCTCCTAAAATAAAATCTCATCTCTCTATGCAAACTTTGTCTTCTTTGCTTCCAAATGCATCAACTGGTTTCAGGGGTTTTTCAGGTTAAGGCCACTGTGACGTCTCAAAACACATGTTTTGTCTTGTTAATGTGATTTTTCAGGAACAACCGAGGGAATTCTTTCAGATTTGGCACACACGTTCACTTGGACTGATAGATTGTCTCATTAGATTTTGAGAGTAACATCTCCAGACTGTCTTGAGACAACAGGGACACTGTGGTCCAAATGACAAGACTATTTAATTAGCTTTTATTATTTGGCACTTTGTTCGAACTCGACTGAGCCCCGGAACTGTTGGGGCGGGGGAACCGTTCCTACCCGGACCCGGAAAGTGATGCACATTAAAAACATGGCGGCCAACATAGAGCAAATTTTCCAGGATTTTATATTGAGTAAAATCAGAGAAATTGAAGACCAAAATGAAGAAAAACCGTATGTCAACGTTGTGTTTTGTGTTCGTTTGAGTGATATTTAAATACAGTTTGATAGCTCGTGGAACAAACGAAGGTTTTCCGCTCTGGTTACACTACAAGCTAACGCTAGCTTTGTATTTACACATTTAAACGTCCAGATACAACTAGTAGCGATGTTGTTAGTGAGGATGGTGGGGTTTAGATAAAGCCCCATTCAAAGTAATACACCAGGAGCAAAGGAACCATGTTTTAATCAGGTTTTCTGTTTTACTGGTTAGCTAGTTATTGTTATTATTGTACGTGAATGGACAGTTTGCACTTTGTGTCCATTCAGAGAAAGGAGTGCAGGTTTATAGATGTATGATCTTTTAGATTCCATGTATAGAGCTATGTTGCTGCAGACACCTATTTAAATAAAGTATTTTCTCCTTAAGATTACTTGCATTGTGACTTTGTGTTGCTAGAATAAACCCTCATATAAACCCCCTATTCTCCTCAGAAGTAGTCCTAGGCTTTAAATCCCTGGCATCTGTTTGAAAAGTATGACTTTTCTGAATAAGTAAGTCATACTTTCTACACTCTGGAAAACATAAACATATGTGAGATTTATCCAGATGTTAACCTACCATTTCCCTCCTTGTACAGTTCTCTGAATGAATGTCCAGCCAGCCTTTTTTTTTTGTGTGGACATGAATCAACCATTGTCTGAGCTGTGTTGCCCAGTTATACATATAAAAAGGAGCAGCTAAACTATAACATCTCTTTCTCTGCCTCTGTGTATCTGTCAGTGTTGGTGATCTAGCAGGTCCTTGCAGTGAAGTGGAGGCGGCAGAGAAAGCCACCACAGACAGAGAGAAACAGGACGACTTCAGGGCCAGCGGTTCACAGAAGAAACACAAGAAGCACAAAAAACACAAAAGTAAGAAGAAGAAGAGGAATCGACAGAAGGAGAGCAGCTCAGAGTCCGTGGCAGAACAGGAAGGAACAAAACAATCAAGGTGAACCTTGTGTATGACTGTCAATACTCACAAAATGGTCATATTCATACTGTTTAACAACACTGTGATCCTCCACTTGTAACAGGTGGAGTCTAGTGCTGTCTGCGTTTGGATTTGATGAAAAGGGCTGTGCCTCGAATTTCTTTCTCCGGTTATTCTGACAAAAAGAGCCCAGTATAACTTAAATTGAATATTTGGCTTTAATCGACTTGAACAGGTTAGATGTTAAGATCTGGTTAGCTGCAGGGTCATCCGCTGGGGAACACCATTCATAGTTGTTTCTCCCCTTATCCTGGAACATCTCACAGAGAACGCAATGAACATGGATCTCTATCCTTCTCAGGGGCTGCTGGCTCTCCTAATCTTGTCCCTCTTGCTTAGCCATACCCAGAAGCTGGCATTTGCTGCCTCATGGGTGCTGGTCTCCTAGTGGTGGTGTCTGTGGACTCCCCTTGTCTTTGGTTTTGGATCCACTGTTTGGTCCTGGTCTGACTCCCTTGGCTTGCCTCTTCCCTCTGTCTCTCCACTACCTCTGCAAGCATCCCAAAAACCTGGTCATGAGGCCGTTACGACACAGTTATGAACACTTTTGAGTAATGTTTGCAGATTTATTAAAAATCAGAAACTACAATCTCTCATTTTCCAAAGTAATCAAATATTTTGCTGTTGCACTTCAAACTGTGGTCCGGTGCCTCCTGTTTGCTTTTATTATACTTGAAGGCTATTTAGAACTTGACTGGAGTTCACCTGTGGCAAACTTAATTCACTGCTTTTAATCCATCTCTCGTTAAAAATTGGGTTTATTTAGAAATGTTTCTGTCGTTGTCGATAAAAAAGCACAAATTCTTGCTATTTTACTATTAATGCCTGCTTTTCAAATGTGCCTAACTCAGGTTTTATCTTTTCTTCATAGAAGAAGAACCCCGACAGAGGTGAATAAGGAGCAAGGTGAGTCTCTGTCTCATTTCATAGAAAACTACACAAATCTTTGACTGTGAAAGTACCAGTCCCACCATGGAATATTAAAAATTCACACTAAAGCAGTCTGAAGAAGACACATTATTGCATCACTTTTAAACTAGGTCTTGTACTGTATGTGTATATATCATCTCCACGTATGCAGTGATTTCTGTTGTACAGAACATACTGCACTCTACAAGCTGATGAACTGTTTGTCCAGGTGAAGAGAAGAAGAGCAAGTCCAAATGCCATAAGCGGCACTCGACAGGAAAGCGGAAGAAGAAGAAGCGAAAGAGGAAAGGTGAAGACAACTCATCAGGTTCCGACTCTGAGTATGTGTCAAAGCAGAGGGATGGTAATTTTGTTCAAAGCTTATCGCCAAGGCGACGAGAGGAGCTGCCTGATATCATCCCCAAACAGGTAAAAAAAATCTTCTTCATACTTTTCCCCAATGTTAACCCAAAGTTAAGTTTTACTCATATATTTGTGGGCTCTATCCTTTTAGTTGAAGCCGACTTTGTGAGCATTCATAATGCCACATACACATCAGGGACATTAAACATGTCACTGCTTCCCAACAGGACAGCTCCAATAAAGGGAGAAGAGATGAGGAAAGACGTGGGAGGCGGAGTTGTCGTTCCCGTTCCCGTTCCTGCTCACAGTCACATTCCGATAATCATCCACATTCCTGCTTAGCGAGCATACCCTTACGCTCTCGGTGTGATTACCACCACCAAAGATCTCGGACTCGCTCCTTATCCAGCTCAAAGCGCCACAGGACCTGGTCCAGGTGGGAATGAAAGCCGTTGATTGATTGATAGTTGAGACATTATTTTTGGTTCAAAGCATAACTATTTTTCAAATATCCAATTTGAAATTTCTGTCTGCAGCTCCTCAGAGAAGAGGAGAGCTTTGAACGAACCCACACAGTCGCCCCAGGGTCCTTCAAAAAGCAACCAGTCGCCTCAGCTGGCCCCCAGCCCTTGTACAAGAAACATAACAACAGAGGAGCTGACAGAGTCGAGCACGGCCGAGCTGCTGAGCCCCGATCAGTGTGAGAAGCCAGCAGAAAAAAAAGAAGAGAAAGCAGAGGAAACAACACAGACACCAGGTCGGACCTTTTTGATATAATTGTACTAATGCTGAATATGGAGCTAAAGTTAAGGCTCTAGGTCAGGCTGAATCCTTTTTTGTGGGTGTAAAATTCTTACTTTTTACCTTTTTGTGTCACAGTCTGACATTTGAAATAGCTTTGTTCAGTTGTTTTGAATTGTGTTTAAGTATCTTTTTTAACTGAACATGCAGGTTGTGGCACATCACAGTCCTCGCTGGACCAGTCCATAGCTACTAAACCTGACCCAACTGCTGAGCTCAGCTTCCCTCAGCTGAAAGTAGCAGAGTACCCCAGGTACCTTGCCACCAATGATAAATCACAGGCAAAAAAAAAGAGGAAAACATCCAAATCCCCACCGCGGAGCAAAGAGGGAAAGTCATCAAAAAGGCAGAAAAGATCCAAGTCTCCATGTCGGAGCCACAGAAAGAGTTCCAGATCAAGAAGCCCTTCAAGGAGGACGAGATCGCGGTCAAGGTAGAGAGAATGGAGTCTTTTCTTCATCGGGATTCCTTGCATACTAAATGTGTTTATTATTTACTCATTATTTATATTGTTACTAGGGCTGTTGAAATGAATTTCAGGAGTCAGAATATATATTATGTATATATACACACAACATTTTTCTATTCTTTCTTGTAATATTTAGCATCAGGCCTTGCCTACAAATAAACTGACCTATGTGTTGTCTGTGCAGGTCGGGGGGTCGGAGGTCCAGGAGGTCACGCTCATGGTCTGGGTCACGGAGCCGGAGGAGGGCTACATACAGCCAGAGGGACCGCTGGAAAAGAGAACCGAGTCACTCTCCTGTACTCATCCTCCGCAAAGATAGGTCATCACCCACCAGGAAACACGGCAGTTCGAACAACAGTCCTCAACGCATCAGTGAACTGGGTCAGATTATAGGAAGTCACTCGTTTGAATGCTGGATACTACTGTTGTGCCCTTTGCTTTGTCTTCCCTGCTTTAGTTGTTATGTAATGTCTACATGCCATCTGTTGAGCTACACACGTGTGTGGCTATGTCCACAAACAACTGACGATATGCACATTTCCAATGAAGCAGTTTTAAAGATTATAAGTGCATTCTGTTTATTCTCCTCAGATAAGGACCAGTTGTTGGAAATCGCCAAGGCCAATGCTGCTGCTATGTGTGCCAAAGCAGGTATGCCCGTTCCTGCCAGCCTGAGGTCCACGGTTCTTCCCATGACTCTGCCAAGTATGGCCATGAATGCTGCTATGGCCAGCATGACTGCCGGTATGTTTTTGAATCTTGTTTTCTTTCTGCACAACTTCTTTTGTGTCTTGTGTTTTATAGTCCATCTGTCCAGTGGCCATATCCTCCCTGTGGACCTCTACAAAGGCTTTTATCCTCATTAAATGAGGATATATTATGTTATAATATTTAAAGCTATTATTAAAAACATATGTAACCCCTATGATCTAATGATTTGGAAAGCTATTTGCTTGTCTCTAACTTATTAATTTCAGTAGGTGCTGTA